AGAAACCCTGGGCATACATGAGTTCTTCTCTTACTATGTACAATAGGAGGCAAATCAAAGATGATAAACATTTAGCAAGTTAGAATTGTAGGCAAGCCATGTTTCATCCCTTTCATTTAATTTCTACCATTAATGAGCTACCTACTCTCTTGCAAATGCTTTACTAGATTCCATGCGATACAACATTAATATGTGATCATAACTGAGTCAGTACTTGTAGCAGTCACTCACCAGACTTTCTATCTGTTTAGACTTGTCTACTGATGATTTTGCTCTGTATTTAATTTATCTTTACTCCAACACTGTCATGGAGCTTTTACCCTCAGTGATTCATAGTCATAATTTTTTGCATGTGTGTAGTAGAATCATAATTTCATGCGTAGAAGTAGAGCTATGCTTTAATCATTCTCTGCATAATCATAATTCTTCTGTCACGTACCATAACGGAATCAAGGCTCTGTCTCTACTTGCACCTCTCTCCCTATAGGTGGATATATAACAGTTATAGCCTAGAACTTCTTCTTAGAGAAGGCCTCTATCTTGCCGAGCGGTGGTGGAAATATGGTGAACGTAGGTGCTGCCCCCTTGTCTGCATGTGATACTAGAGTTTTCTCAGTGTCAGGAAGTCAGATCATCCAGGAAGGTTTTTAAGCTTTATCATCACATGTTTGGTTTTATTAACAAATTATATAATTATTGTAGTTTTGTTATTATTTTGGATAAATTGTTAAACTTTTAACAAGTTATTCCAGACTTCTTGACCAGGACAGGAGCTTGTTCCTGTGACTTTTAAAGTGATTGCTTAAAATTTTTTGAATAATTGTTTCCTCATGTTTTGCTATTATTGCTGTTAAACCCAACATATACAAGTTGACAGGAACATTCCCTTCCAACCAAAATCTCTGGAATAACCCTTTTACTTCCTATTAAATTTTAGTTTGTTCATTATACATGTAGGTGATTCTGTTTTGTTGCTAGTATATGGGGGTCGGAGTGTTATCAATTCTACTTGTATTTTAAAAAGGTCAATCTACAAATGACACTTGCAGTCCTCTATATCTTCTCCTCTGTTGCTTTTCTAATGCTTTTTCTCTTCCCTCTCACATTTCCATGTTTTCTTGCTCCATTCCATCATTTTTATTTCTTATTTAGTTCAAGAAGATACCTGTAAATTTGGCACCTGTAAAGTTACAGGAAACTGTTAACATTCAATTTGCATTTTAAAACGTTGGCCATTATAATGATTTGGGTAGGCAGATCTGGTCAATACAGTAACATATTCAATGAAAAAAAAAATCAGCCATGTAACAACTTCAATATTACTTGTAAAATTCCTGTTGCCATGTTATGATCCAAGTATATAATGTACTTGTACATTTATTATATAATGTGCATACATATATACATGTGAATGCAATAAAATGTAGAGCAATTTTACAGCTTTTCATAGAAGTTTTGCTTGCTGAGGTGCAAACTATGTAATTTCAGGAAGTTGCTTTACTTGTGTATTTTGAAACCTTCAACTTCTTTTTTTTTACAAATTCTGACTTATACATTTCCTCCTAGGTCGCCTGAAAGATGCACTCAAGAATGACAGACTGAAGCCTAAACTGAAACAATACCTCGGCAAACTCGGATCAAACAATGCCATCGATAATCCTGAATACCAGGAAATTCTGGGCAACGAAGACCAAGAGGACTACTATGATGATGACCTGTCAGATCATGAGTACTACAACGACATTAGGGCAAACAAGAAGGCAAATTTGCTGAGAAAAGCAGCGAGTGAGACAGACATTTAAGACTAACAGGGAAGGAGAGCAAGATATAATGGTTACTCCGGGAATTAGATGGCAGACGTATGCATGTTGACGTGGTGAAAGATACAGCTGTTTTTACATGTTTCCTGGACCTAAAACTGTTCATTCTATCACAACACTGTTCTCAACATTGATGTTACAATTTGTCTGTTTCCAACTCTTTTTCCCAAACTTTCCAACTTTTTTCCAAACACATTTAAACACTGTAACTGTAGATGTCTGATGTTAAAAAAGACAGCTGTACCTTCTCATCCAAAACATTCAAAAAACGTTCCAAAACTTCTATTAGATTTATCTGATGATACGTCACCCATGAAAACGTTCTCAAACGTCCTTTTGTGTTGAGTGCAATACAGAGCAAATTGGATGGTCTATTTAACCAACCTCCTTAATTGATTTAACATTTCATTCCTGTTATATTTTGTCTGTTTGTGCACAAGTTTGTTGTTTTTTCTACATAGTCCAGAGCATTCATTTTTGGCAAAGCCCAATGAGCAGGACTTTTTTTCCTGCTTTTATGAAATGTTTGTACTACTTTTCATGACTATTTTGTATGAATTACTATGTATATAAAGTGAGGGAAAATCATGGTGCGACAATGAATGTATGAAAGCCGATTTTAGGACAAGCATATAAACATGTATATTCAAACTATTGTGGTTACTTCATTCTATAGGCAACATGAAACAACCTGTGAACAATCTTAGTTTGAAACTGCCTAGGCCAAAGGTATATTGCACATTAAGGATGATTGTTAAGTTATCAGAACTGTTTTTAAAGTTGGAAGGTCTCTGAAGAAGTGCTTGTCACTGCCACAAAGCTTACAAGAAGAGCACATTGGTTATAATGTCCTGTATGTAACAAAGCATACTTCCATTGCTTTTATTGTTAATGAATTCCAAAGTCACCCTATGATAATGCTGGTTGTACAATCCCTTCTAAAATGATGGAAATTGCAAATTATGGATGTGGTTCAGAAAAAAAAACAGATGTATCTTCTGTGGAATCAACAGATTTGATTTTGTAAGTTCACATACAGGAACTTCACAACAGTGGAAAATCTGACCAAAGCACTACGATCCATGCAAGGGATTTTATAATATCATAATCTATGGCACAATTCTTTGGGTATTGCTTGAGAGTAGTCTGTACATGGTAAATTCAGCTGTATTAAAGGCATTGTCTTTGATTCAGGGTGCCTTTGACAGAAAAAGTATCCGCAGTGCTGTGACTGTGAATCATCAAAAGCAAAAAAGGCCTGAAGGATTACCATTAGTATGATACAAGGGAAGTGCTGAATGGCTGCGATGTTCATTGGGTAGAAACAAGCTAGGGAAATGATGATTGGCTGGAGTTTGTCGGCATGATACAATGGGGATAGTGATTGGCTGTCATGATTACTGGCATGATTTAAGGGGAATGGTGATTGGTTAGGATGTGTGAAGTTCAGAAATGGTACCAACAGAAACTCCTGAAGGATTTTGGATAGATTTACTGTATCTCTATGGCTTAGGTCTTTTCTACTGCTTTGAAAGGGCACCTTTCAGTGTACATGTAAACGCAAGTAAACAAACTTTTTTAAAGCAAAATAGTGAATTCATAGTAGACTACAGTGGATATAACATTTTGTAAGTAAGCACTCAATTTTGTGCTATGTGTAATGTTAAGAATAATAAGATTGTATATTCAAGGACCTTTCCAATTGTTGTAAATGTTAAATGTAACAAACAAGTGTCCGGAAATCGTAAAAACATATCTAACCCCTTGTTCCAACAAGGTTATAGCTTGGTGCAGGGTTTGAGGTCACTCAAGGAGTGGTCACTCTTGGTGGGGCTGGTCAACAAAATAGTCTTTTCTGGTACTTTTAATTGAACCAAACTACTTTGGTCACAGTTTTTTCCAACTGCAAATACAAAGCAAGGCAAGTTTTTGTTGTTGTTGTTGTAATGTGGCACTTGTGCTCTTGATGAATTTTTCTCCATTAATTTTTTTCTAATTTACTCAAGTAACAGTTACTGTCTTGTTCCAAAAATGGCTACTCTGCAAATAAGCCAAAAATGTACATAGATGCTGGAGTTATAAATGCTAGCTCTGCTTGTGGTATTTGAAGGAAGTGCCTTTTAACCAGTGTTGGAGAATTTTACGCAGAAAAATTGTATATTTTGATAGATATGGTACAGTGATTTTAACCATGTTCAATGTCATTTTAATGGCTACCTATATGTATTGTATGTGTACATGTACATGTATGTACTGTGTTGCCGGTAACCTCGTTACTATGTATAATATGCATATTCTAATGTAATAGTTTTAGATTATTGTTCAAGATTCTAAAAATAATTAATGTCTGCTAGCAAGGGATCTCCAAGGGAAGAAGTTTGCTGTGAATTGAAAGACACGTGTTTTACCTTCTGCAAAACCATCTTTGTTACATGCACGCAATGCTTTTTTAAGGCTGAAAGTTTTTCAGTACTGTGCCATACATGTTAAATAATTTATGGTAAGGCACTGAATATGCCCTTTCCTTAATTTGTGCTAGGTTTAAAGAAATGGTTATGTAACTATTTCTTCAGAAGTTTTGGGATTTTTGTTTTCAAAACACAGGAAACACAGCTTCCTTTTTCAGGAGAGGATTCATAGACACATTTTAGATGAAATGTCACTTAAAACTTGTTAAGGCAATGGAAGCAGCAGCCCCTTTTTGAGAATAATTTATCATTCTCCACTAATATTAATACTTAGTCGTAACAATAAAACAATTAGCAGAAGTAAAATCACCATGATTATTACTCTAACATGCACATTTGAATGCTAACAGTTTTATTGTTTTAAATTTATTCCCTTCCCTAACAAATGTGAACATTGGTAACAGCGCTCTGTTAAAAGGAGGGGGGCTACTTCCTTATACATGTAAATGTAGAACTACATTAATACACTGTTTAACAGACTCATTCTTGAATTCTGCTTTCCCCGTATCTGTGTTGTGCATGTAAGCCTGACACTGCCATTTGTGTGCTGTATATTGTAAACAGGAAGATGCTAAGGTTTTTAAGAGGATGTACATGTACATGAAGAAGGATAGTCTAATGTGCATGGTGAAGGTCTTGTATTTGTACATGGATTATATGTTCAATAAAAGGTGGTTATTTAGTGTTAACCTGTTCTGTGTGTTATGTTTGCCTCGGAGCCTGCATTCCACCAGGACAAGCTAGGTGCTGTGGAACCTCAATGTGTGCATCAACTCTGCATGTGTATTGGGGGAGGGGGACTTATCACATGGTGCAGGCACTTAGTCAATCAACATGTTTAATTATACTTTATCTAAAACCACATGACTATTTTCAATTATTGCTGATCTTAGTATCATTGAACAGCACCCAAAATAGTGATAAGCATTTACCATTGAAAAACATTATTTATGATGTACCTATCCACCATATCCTCTGAATCAAAACTTACATTGATAATTGGATTAATGTGGGAGAGTTAGAAGAGTGGATATTGCATGGAGATACACTGCACCAAAATACCCGTCTTTTATAAAAAAAACATTATTTATGATGTAGCTCCAAATGTTTCAGAATCTATGTATCTGACTTACCCTGCAAAGTTGCAATGGTAATTTGATTAGTCTATAGGAAGTAGAATGTTGTAGGTTCACTTTTGTTGAACCTATCCACCATATCTTCTGTACCAAAACTTACAATGTAATTCGGATTAATGTAGGAGAGTTTGAAGAGTGGATATTGCACCGAAATATATTGCACCGAAATACCCGTCTTTTATAAAATCTTGTCCCTACCAGCTTACTATATACCATGCACCTTGCATGTGTATCAATATATGAATAATCTCCATGAAATATAATATAATCTCCAAATGAGAGGTTGGTCACCCATCATTTCTGGAGTTTAAACACTTCACCAACATTAGCTGCACCTCGAAAAAATTGTATTTGGTTTTTATATCCATTACACTAGCCACCCAAAAGACTGGTCCTTACATCCCATAGTGTACTGGATATGTCAGCCGCTCTGGCTTCTTCACTACAAGTTTAAGCACATCGACCAGCTTCCTGATCATGGCTTCCCTGGAGTCACCATAGGTGAACACCCAGCAGAAGTGACATCCGGCACTACCGGTGAAGTTCGTGACCTCGTCGTCAGGACCTGCCGACAGCAAGATGTACACATCAGGATCCGACTTCAGCTTTTCCAGCTGTGGAGTAAGAGAGAAGGCTAGGGATTTGTTGTATAAAATGCTTCATCCTTCCACACTTCACAGACCCTTACATGTAGCTGCTGGACTCGAACCAAGGAGTATAATCCTTGCTTGAACTAAACTGATATTTCTGAACAATAGTATGACTGAGTCCAATGGCATGTACACACGCAATGTATATTTACATGTACAATGTAAAAGAGTTGGATAGTACTAGCCAAGGGTCTTGTCTTTCAATAGGTTTACAGGGTTATTGACTAATGTTTACTACTCCTTACCATCGGTGACGCAACAGCAAGCTAGAAATGTGGTTCAAGTCGTAACTGAGTCTATATCCCCCTCATAGTCGATGTACAGCTGTAATTCCTATGTCTCTCTCCTACCTGGTCAAAGTCCATGAGATTGCCGGGCCTTTCCAGCTTGTCAAACTTGACTATATAGGCGCTGGACCACCTCCCAGTCTGGGGTGGTGTTGTGTACTTCATCCCGCGGCCGGCAGCCAGGTACACGTAGTCCTGGTTAGCGTTCTTGTAGCTCTGTCTGTAGCAACCTTGCATCTGCTTGGACCCCCTGGCATTTACCTCACACAGCCTCAGCTGAAGTAAGTAAAAGGACGTGGTCAGTTTTACAGGGATGTATATTTTTTTGCAGAGTATTAAGTATATTATTCAACCTAGCGTTGACACTCTAGCACAGTTTGCTTCTGAACATTACATAAGGCCGCCTGGTATTTGGCAATGTTTGAATGCCCATTCTAGCATCCTCGCTCGATAAGAGAATTTTAGAGATTCCAGGAGGCGCGTCGACATCAATATTGTGGCAGGTGTAAAATCAAATTATTGTTTCGACAATGATAGCTCGATTCGCATGCTGTTACAGATAGGAGTTAGATCAGGACAAGAGAGGCAAACTGTTCTCTTAGTCAATTTCTATTGTTTCTAGCCGCTTCCCGAAGCCTGGTAGAGGCTAGTACCTGTCCATCCTTCATTCTGAAGACTTCGATGTTTGTGAAGCAGTTGTTGAAGCCAAACTGGACCATCCTGGTCATGACGCCCATGTAGACATCCCATATCCGCTCCTGTAAGTCTGCCGGCTCGGAGGTCGGAGCGATCACGGTCATGAACTTGGCTTCTTGGTGGTCGAAACGGAGCTCGTCTGTGATCTGTGGAAGTATGTACATGTACTCTACTACCTGGTATTGGTACAACAAGGTTTACAACAAGTCTGCTTAGTACTAGGTTACAGATATGAGAGTTACAGATATGGTCTATTGGTGTAGTACAACAGAAGATGGACACTAAGTGGAACACTACAGTCTTCAGAGAACTACAAGCACAACCATCCTGAACCACCTGGAATCCGAGGTCTCGAACTACTACTCTAGTGCGATTGTATCTTCCAACCTCGATAGTTACTTACTGATTGACTACTACCACTAGCCAATCAGGGCCTACCTATCAAGCTAATATAGGCAAACTGCAAATTCCATATGCCATTTATTGTTTAGATATTTAATTCGCCGTGTTAACTT